ATCACTCAACGCATAGAAGGTAGATGACCGCAAGACGCAGCATGAAAAGGATGCACAGTAGTTCACTGACGGACACTTGTTTCAAAGCGACTTGCCATGGTAGAAATATCTGGACTCTGGACGATAGTCTACGGATAGTAACGCGCTGACACTTGCGTCTGGCGCACACATTCGCAATGTACAATCGACACGTAACAAGTCAAATAGCGACGAAAGTGCAAGTGGCCTTCCCTAGCGTACAACCGCCAATGCATAAACAAACGCCATACCCAACACGAGATCATCGTTTCCCACGAGCATACGCACTCCAAAGGCAAGCTGCCACATGCTGGCAGTCACTCGATCGTTCAAGGTCTATATCAACTTACTCGAGTGTGAACGGGCAGCCCCGAAGACGTGGCGCCGCTCGTCTTTGATTAACGCGGAGCACGCGGCACCGGGCCCTATTGCGCGTGAGGAGACGGCTGGACTGGTATCTAGCACATGTGAGGAGGGGGCTGGACTGGTATCTAGCACAGTGGCGCTTTGATTCGTTGAAGCTGTCGCCTGACCGAGCGCCAGGGCTCCGTGGGCGCCGTGCGCTCGGCACACCTGGCTGGCCCGCTGACCAGAGCGTGGGCTGGGCGCCAAAGGGTCGCAGCAGAAGTTCCGGACACCCTGGCGCGCGACACGGGGCCTCGCACCCTCAGCTGCCAACTCGGGCTGATGGAATGCTGGCATGGGCGTGAGTGTGTCTGTGTGTGTGTGCACGTGTGTGCGTCTGGATGAGCTATGTATGCTATTTGCGGGAAGTGCCGCAGAATCGTATGAACGGCAATGCTTAACCTCCTCCTTGGGTATTTTATGGGACAGGTTTGTTCGCGGACCAATGAAGATGCATCTGCGTCGACGAACCGCTATCCGGTAACCAGGCTACTGCAGCGCAGTGAATACAAGTAACCAGGCTACTGCAGCGCAGTGAATGCGAGTAGCCAGGCTACTATAGCGCCCTGAATACGAGTGACCAGGGTGCTGTAGCGCAGTAAGTATGGGTGCCTCACGATCTATTTTAAGACAAAGTCGTCAGGCGGACAAATATTTCCATCTTATGGCACCCATTCCACCTGAAAAGGTCAGCCATGGTATTGCCATAAGACAAAAAAGCAAAGCATAATTGTACCGATTATTTGAAACTCAAATATGCAATACAGTTTATAGAGTCAACGAAGACAATCAAATATCACATTTAGATATCGACCAGTTGCTATTTGCGATGAACACGAGCAGACAAACACTATCTCATCCAAACGTCCCATTTTAACGTCTGCCACGTGCAAACGCATCGAGTGATATGTGTCTGGAAGGTCACGTATATATGACTAGCAATAATTCAGGTACACACGGGTGTTGCATGCAAGCTGGGGCAAAGAAGCACGCTCAGGCCAAGGAAAAACACATGCTTGTAGCAATCATGTGAACACGGGTACACTTTTGGTACACCATTGCCACATATTAAATAATGTCCATGTTTGTTTCACCTGGTCTCAATCCCGCCGTATTCAGCTGAGTATTTTGGAAACATCATGGTTGTATGCACAATCCAGCGTGATCCCTACCGACAGCCAACATAAGCTTAATTCACTCAAGCTGGTTCTAGGTAAGGTAAACTCAGGAATGATTTCTTTTCATGGAACAGAATTTTGATCAATCTGCCATGCTTTCGTTTTTTATGCGTGATTATCAATTTAGAACAAGCATTACGTAGTTTCTCATAAAAATAAAAGGAGAAAGACATTCAGTGCCTGCCTGCACCGGGCAAACCATAATCGGTTTTTGCCACAATACCGACAGTATATTGCTTTAGAGCACCACCCACCAATTGTCAAAATGTTAGTTTAAATATACAGTGGATATGAACATGCAAAGTAGCATGTAAAACATATGAAAAATTCCCGATCTATACAGGGAACGGGTGCACTTTTAGCATTGCCAATGAAGTTGCCACATCAAGCTATCGCGGGTTCACGCGATTATAAACGTTTACTGCTCTAGGCATTAAACTTAAGTTCATGACGTAATAACCATTGAGCAATGATGTCACTCGTGCTATTACGCGTTGAGTTATTGAGTTTTAAAGACGCGTCAGCTGCTTTGGTTATTTACGCTTTACAAACCTTCAGGGGCAGGAAGTGCGATCGGTACGACAGACTGTGAGGGACGGTGACGTGGTTCGATAGACGACAGAATTTATAGGGAAACAGATACGTGGTTAGCGGAAATCAGCTGAAAAAGACACACGCTTGAGCCACTAGACGTGCTGAAACACAAGCCTTTCGCCCGATTCGCCTCCTGCCTACCGCTCATCCTTCCCCACCGGGTGGAGCGGTCAGCCAGATCGCCGTCTCAGTCGCGAACGGCAGACAGACCGCCGGTGGCGGGCGCCCGCTCTGGCCTGCACGTGCGATGTGGCGTCCCTGCGTGCCAACGACCGGCCGCCGACTGACTAGCGCTCGGCGGAGCCGACTATTGCACAGTTCACAGATATAAAAGACGTCGTTCCGCCCGCCGGCGGCTTCGGGCGCCCGTCTCGGATCGGATTGGGCGCCGGCCGGGCACCGCGGCGACCGCGCCCTCCGCCTAGGTCGCTCCGGTTCGCTGCGGTTCTCGGGCGTGCCAGTCCCGGTCGGCTACAGTCCTCAGGCGTGCCAGCCCCGGCCGGCTGAAGTCCTCAGGCGTGCCAGCGCCGGTCGGCTGCAGTCCTCAGGCGTGCCAGCCCCGGTCGGCTGCAGTCCTCAGGCGTGCCAGCCCCGGTCGACTGCAGTCCTCAGGCGTATCCTTGAAAGCCAAGCGAGTCCGGCTCGGCTTTCATTGTTTGTCAGTGGTGCTGCGCGGCGAACTTCATGCGCTTCTGCTTCTGGCGCTGGTTGCAGAACCACACGCGCACCACGTTCTTCTTGAGGTCGAGCTTCTCGGCGATAGCGGCGATCTTCTCGCCGGAGGGGCGCGGCTGCACGCTGAAGTAGGCCTCCAGCGAGCGCTTCTCGGGCGCCGCGATCGACGTCCTCTTCCGCTTCTTCTCGGCGCTGGGCAGTACGGACGGTGCCTCGGGGTCGCGCCGCTTGTTACGCGCCTGTGCCTCGGCCTCCTCCAGCCAGGCTTGCAGCACCGGCTTCAGCGCGATCATGTTGTTGTGGCTGAGCGTGAGCGACTCGAAGCGGCAGATGGTCGACTGGGAGAGCGCGCCGACACCGGGCAGCTTGAGGTTGGCCAGCGCGCGGCCCACGTCCGCCTGCGTCACGCCCAGCTTGATGCGCCGCTGCTTGAAGCGCTCCGAGAAGGCCTCGAGCTCGCGCGGATCCGTGTCGGCATCGTGCAGGCCCACCTGGTGGTGCGTCATCATGGTGTTGATGGGGTGCGAGTAGACGGGCGGGTGCAGCGGCGCCGGGTGGTGCGAGTTGTCGGCCATGCCGCCGAGGCCCGGCATGGACGTGGCCGTGGCGCCACTCAGGTGGTCCATCATCTCCAGGCCCTCCGAGTAAGGCGGACACATCTGGAACGGAGACGCCGCGTCAGTGATGGGCTGGACCAGGCTCGGTCCGAGCCGCGGACTGGACCAGGCCCGGACCGAGCCGCGGACTGGACCAGGCCCGGACCGAGCCGCGGACTGGACCAGGCTCTGTCCGGGCCACGGACCGGACCGGGCCCGGACCGAGCCGCGGACTAGACCAGGCTCTGTCCGGGCCACGGACCGGACCAGGCCCGGACCGAGCCACGGACTGGACCAGGCCAGGACCGAGCCGCGGACTGGACCAGGCTCTGTCCGGGCCACGGACCGGACCAGGCTCGGCCCGACCCACGGGGTGGACCAGGCTCAGACCGGGCCGCAGACTGGACCAGGCTCGGTCCGGGCTACGGACCGGACCAGGCCCGGACCGAGCCACGGGCTGGACCAGGCTCGGACCGAGCCACGGCATGGCTAGCCGGCACACGATTCTCCACGAGAACGTCGTGCGATCACTTCCTCTGCGCCCAGACCGCGCCTGGCCAAAGTCGTGATGCTTACTTCTACCGCTGATTTGACATCCATAGAGAGCGTGCTCGCTTATTGAGAGCATGCATGCAGAATCTTGGCCCAAACCATTTCAATTCAAGTTTTGAAATGCACTGAACATTCAGTTGATGCCCAGGCAAGTCAAATACCCAGTCAATTCCACGTTCATTGTGCACTCGCTCATGTATGCAAGGGCGACCAAAAACCCAGCATATACTTTTTAGCGATGTGGCTCTGGCTCTGGCTCTCTCTCTCTCTCTCTCTCTCTCTCTCTCTCTCTCTCTCTCTCTCTCTCACACACACACACACACACACACACACACACACACACACACACACACACACACACACACACACACACACACACACACACACACACACACACTTGCGTTTGTCGGGATGTCTAAAACAATGAGGGGCTCCCGTATCGGCCAGTGGCCCACGACACACAACAGGGGTTCCTGTGTCGGAAAGGGTCGCGAGTTGGCAGAGACACATTTCTGGAACGGGGACGGGAAAGGGACCCCGAATGTCAGAGGGCCTCTTACGTTGGTCGGTGCCCTCTGATATAGAATGTAGACGTGATAAATGACAAATGAATGGGTCCGCAATGAGACAGTGGAAAGGCTTCATGTCAGGCAGGACTTCAGCGCTCTTTGCCCGTTACATCCAGGAACCCAATAAGCTGAAATGGGGTTTTGTACCAATTCATTAAACCCTCTGCGCTGGTAAAGAAACTTTCTGCGTCGGTGAATCGATCAAATTCCAATCGAAATACGTTCTTGTGTCCATCCAAGGCCAACTGCCCCGGTCTGAGGGCCCACTTCGGGGAGGGGACCAAGGCATGATGACGGCCTCTGATGTAGGCCATAACAAGGGTCTCAGAGGCCCTCTGAGGGTATATGGATTGCCTGGAAGACCCAACTGCCCTATCGCCAGAATAGCAGCCCGCAGGTAGCCCAGCTGGGATGGAAAGACTGTTCAGCCCGCGACCGGAAAAGCTAACATCATCTCTAACGTCCTTCTCACGAAGTCCCCTGCTCGGGGAGACGTAAGGAGTCTTCTTAATTTTCAACAGGGCTTAGGTCTCATACTTTTTCGGAATCGACCAGTGAAATAAAATTATCGTCACCTGCAATCACCTGCAAAAAAGATCACCCGGTGTTCCAGTATTCGTCGAGCCGGGCAGCGTTAGCCGCAGCAAACAACACCAGGACGCGTAAGCCGAGATTAAGACCGAGGTAAGGCGTAAGACCGTAAGACCGATTGGCAGTTCATGCTTCCGAAAGCCTTTTAAAATCCATTCTTACCTAGCAGATGTTGCGCTAGAACATGTATTTCACCTACGGAATTTTGAGGCTGATTCATTGAACGGACTGGCAGTTACGGCAAACACGAACAATAGAGATTCCACAATCACGTGAGTGGCTCCTGGTGTTGTAAATTGCTTTAACCTGTTCCGAGTATTGGTCTGAAAATCGTACAAGTAAAATATACGGCCGAGACTGACTTCCACACGTGCGGTTTAGTTTCATAAAGGATTCAAAAGTGTTGTTACTTACGAATGCTTAAACATGTGTGATCTCTTCAGTTTTCGTTTTTAGTCGTTTGGGTCGGGGTCGGAGAGAATAAAGAAAAGTGTTTTACACTTTATGTAATTTTGAACTGAAATAGCCGTCTTGAAGATTGTTCGGTGCAGTTTACAGCCCTACCCTTCTTAAGATATAAACCCCTCTTTTGTCTGATACACACTCGCAAGGATGTGTATGCTATTTCGGGGAGGCAATTTCAAGGTCACCTAGGCATCCATGACGTCATAATAACGTCATTCAAATTCTGCCATTACATTAGCCATGTGGGGATGAAGGCCATGAAAAGTCCAACTGTCGAATCGTTCATATCTGGCGTCCGTGAGCACGATTTCTTGATATAACGACCGTCAACTGGCTCTCAATCATTGTCGTGCAAGGTGCGATGACGTGATCAAACAGTGACTTAAGAGCACACGTACAAAACAGAGAAATTATGTTGATCAGAGCGGTCCTTTCCGCCTAAAGGTATAATAATAGTTACTCATAAGCTGATTTCATCATATCTGATGCTTGTTTCAATATCTTCAAATGCGAATATTTTTCGAAGTCAATCAGGTCGTGGTTGAAGCGACTCAAATATCTATGTAAACGAGGCACATAGTCGCATGGTCACAGCTTCGATGCGCCCTAAATTAGACGCACATATTGGTAACTGAACGGCCAACAGAATAAGTGTCACATTTAGACTGTTTTGAAATGTATAGAACCGATATTCTCCCAGACCTTTGCTGCCGGAATCAACTCCATTGATATCAATGTCAGAATCGAGCCATATTTCGTTGAGCCAACATCCGAATAAATCCGGCGTCGGAGTCGACGAAAATTACGCCACACCACTCGAAATTACAGTCAAAATTAATCCCACGCCTTGTGAGTGAGAGATATAATCGATTTGGCTGAAGCGGAAGCATACACTAGACCTCTTCTAGCCCGTCTTCTGCACACGGTGGAACGGGGGAAAGACTACGTTAAACGAATCTGATAGTGCATCAGCCAACGAAAACCGATGTCATGTGCAGTACGAGCAAGGCGAGGCAAATGAACACATTTTTCTATCGGTATTTTGATGGATCGATGGGTCTCTGGGTCTCCACCCACTGTCTGCATTTCAGACCATCAATGAAACACCACCAACACTTACAACAGCTCCTAGAAGGTATCATGTCCTATAGAAACCAGGCGCCAAAACTCTCGACTGAATGGTGGGCACGGAAGACTGAAAATTGACGTTGGGGTCTGGGGAAAGAGACCTGCCCGGATCAGGTGAATTAGCAACAGGTTTGAAGCTCATGGCGAATATTTTTAGTTCGCTAAATATTTTTGATTGCTTACTCTATTCTTGTACTCACTGGGGGCTGGGGGAACACGCTACTTCCAATTTTGAAAAGTGTTATCTTGTCCCATTTTGTCAATAAAAGATGTGTTTTCACGCTTCCATTACAATTTTCAGGTCAGGTCATTTTCAGGTCATTCGTGAGTTCCGGGTCATTTTCAGGTGAGGTCGCTCACTCCGGGTTCCGACCTTCCCGACCTTGATTTACACCTTCCCCAAATTCAGTGACCTATTAACGGACATGGCCTGGATGCACTCTTTCCATCTGTGCTAGCAATGCCGACCTGGAGAAGCAGGACCAGTGGTGTGGGTGGGGTAAGATGTGACCAAGAAGCAAACGCACGATGAGACCTTGAGGGAAATGACGACTGAAAGCGATTGAGCGTTTTGCTGAGTCTTCAGATAACAAATCAGCACTAATGCGGCACTACCGTCCACATATCGTTTCTGCACTGGACCCATGCACCCACGATAGCAGCAAACAAATTATCAGCACACCTCAGTTAGGAAAAAATCATCTATAACTTCGTCTTATGACGCGGTATGATATAAATGGATTAACAAACCTGCCGCTGCCCCACTTTCCCCAAGTTCCTTGCGAGTCTGAGGCGACCTTGCGAACCTGAGGCGACCAGCGTTTGTCAACACATGAACAAATCGTGTATAAAAACTAGCAAATGGCTTGAGGTGATGGTGTCAGCTTTCTTGCAAGAGGATACATCAATAATGAGGAGAAAGGAAATGTATGCCTTCACTGCCAGGCTTCGCATACCAGAAAGGAAGCCATATTAGTCCATTGAGCCCAAGGGCAGGCGGAGCTACCTGCCATTCAAACGCTTGTGAATAATAAACCACTCAAAAGCTACCCCAACACGCCGCCGTTGTCATAAACGAGGCCTAACGCCCGCACCGCGTGGTGGGACGCGAGTAAAGCTCACGAATATGTGCCTGCCAATGAAGTGCGGTAGTGGAAACCTGGGAGGGCCGATGACGATCGAAACATCGCGTGTCCACAGCAGATGCGTGTAGCTGAACCGACAGATCTGTGAGAAGGCAGCCCATATGCGGGCTGGCTGCGCTTAAAAAAGCGGACTGGCTTATAAATACGGTCAAAAGTCAGCTAACAGGGTTAAGTGTGCCACATTTGAGGCTATTTGTCGTTAGGGCGATCAAGCTCGAAGTGAGAGATTATCATCACACCCACAAAACACTATCCTTGGGCATGTACGTGCACAGCCCAAACTACCAGCGCTCTAACAGGTCGGACATGAAGCCGAGGCCCACAACTGTGCTGGAAAGGGAGGAACTGAGCAACGGGTGCGTATGGTGCACCCAACCAGTGACATAACGGACAGCTCACCTTCTACAAGATCGCTTCCCTTTAAAATAGGCGCGGAATGGATGAAGCATTCAGAAAAACTTCTGTATTCGGAGTAGAACATAACTTGAACAATGAACAGCCATATCAACCGGATATTACCAGCTTTATGAATCATTTCGAAAAACCGATAAAGGAAGCTGACAACGCGATGCAGCTATGATACGTAGACAACACACTCCATACTCTTTTTATCACACTTAAATCGCCTAAGTCTTTCAAAACTAAAATCGATGACGGCTCATCCAGACGTGAAAATATAGCCTGTCTCAGTCACTCACTTCCCAGAGGAAAAACACCAGCAGGTTCGCCTGCAACCAAGTGGCCTTCCGTCTCGCACTGTGCCAAGACGTGGCAGTGCAATGTTTGCAGTTCTCGGATATGTCATCAGCGCTGACCAGACGACCGCAAAGCTACGACTATCGACGCCGGAGTTTGCCCGGCTCACTGCTTGCTCCGCTCTCCACAGCGGCCGACCCGGAGCTGAGGCGAGCACGTGTAAATATTCGGAGCCGTGTCGGCGCCGCCAGCTGTCGGCGCTGCCGCCGGCACCGCTCCACATGTCGCGTCGTATTCCGCGCCGTTCGACGCGTCGTTCGGCCGAATGACAGGCGCTCGGGCGTCGTTACCGGACATTAATTCCCGGAGAGCCGTGCGTGCGCCGCGGCGCCGTCGGGTGGGGCGGCGTCGGGCCGGCCTGCGCCGCACCGTTCGGGCGAGCGCGCCGCGGTGTGCACGTGGCGTGCAACGGCGAAATGGCCGGCTGAAAGGAGCCCCTCGAGGATGATAAATGCGCACGGATGGACCCGCGGAGTTGAGGAGGCGGAGGTGGACCGGACCGCATCGTGATTCGGTGTACCCGGGGGCGTGGGCGTAGGAACTGGGTGAGTGAGGGTGGGAGGGGGGGGGGAAGGTCAGAAGAGTTATTAATTACTACTTACTAATTACCGTCACCAATCACTGACTAGGTGTGCTCTTGTGTACGAACACTAAAACTGTCGATGCATGGACAAGTTAACTATTGAATAGAAGGACTATGACCACAACCGCGAGGCGCCTAGTGCTCAGGAAGAGACGATCACTGGCGCATTACGACAATCGCCTGGAGTATGCGTGATAGGAACATCACCCAGCTGTTCAATACATTTTCCTCGTTTGGAATGGGCGGGTGCAGGATTCACGGTTGGTAGAGGAGGGTAGCCTGCATTTAGACTCGGAATTTGCCTGATTTATAGATGAGATGTGGGGGACTCATGCACCTGCCCACTGTTACCTCATCGATGCCAGGGTCAGAGGGCGACCGGAAAATCGATGGCCTACCGACAGTGAAGTCACGAGCCAGCACTAAACTGTGCAAACCAAAAATGCCACCAACCACACAACGCACGTCCACCACGAAACCCATCTGCTCAGAGCCAATCCACATCAACCAAGCAGCCAGCAGTGACCAACCGCCGCCGCAGCGCGGCCGTCTGCACCAGCCACCGGGCCCCGTGTCTGCGCGAGCTTACCCAGCGGTCGCGCGGGGGCTCGCCCACCTGCTGCGGCTTGGCGGAGGGGACGGGCGCGGCGCGCGGCGCGCCCATGTACATCATGTCCCACATCTGGTGCGGCCGCGCGCCCGGCGGCGTGTGCGGCGAGCTCATGGCCGGGTGCGGGTGGCCGTACACCATGTCCGGCCGCAGCTGCGGCAGGCTGGAGGGCGGCGGCGCGCCGTGACGGCCCATGTCGGCCAGCGCCTCGGCGCGGCTCAGTAGGTTGTCGTCCAGCCCGCCAAACAGGTTGCCCTGGCGACGGAGAATGGGTTCGGAGTCAGGGCGCTGGTGTGAAGGAGCGACTCACACGGCTGACGGCACAGAGGGGCGGCTCACACGGCTGACGGCACAGAGGAGCGGCTCACACGGCTGACGGCACAGAGGAGCGGCTCACACTGCTGACGGCACAGAGGAGCGGCTCACACTGCTGACGGCACAGAGGAGCGGCTCACACTGCTGACGGCACAGAGGAGCGGCTCACACGGCTGACGGCACAGAGGAGCGGCTCACACGGCTGACGGCACAGAGGAGCGGCTCACACGGCTGACGGCACAGAGGAGCGGCTCACACAGCTGACAACACAGCGGAGCGGCTCGCGCGGCTGACGGCGCAGAAGAACAACCCAGATGACCGATGATACTGAGGTACACATGTTAGAAAATACACATTGCTGACGCCACACAGACGCGCGAGTCGCACTGCTGCTGACACGAGGAGCAGCTTACATTGCTGCCGTGACACAGAGGAGCGGCCCCGTCACTGGCGACGCAGGGGACTGGCTTACCAAACAATGAGAAGGCGTTTACTTCATTGTAGGCTCAATTCAATTCGGCTCAGTTCGTTCAATTAAGGGTTCAGTGAAATTACATGCTAAGTCGTTTGAAATCAGTTTTTTTCTGAACAAATCCGTCATTGCTATTTTAAGTGCAGTGTACAGTGTTGTTGAATTGCTACAAAATTAGTGCGCCATCTATAGCACTTACCGCGCTGCCAGAGGCATAGTTTCACTAAGTGAGTTGGGGGGGGGGGGGGGGGGCGCTGAACAATGAAAAATGAGTCATCCTATCCCAAATATATCATCATAAGACCAAATATACCAATCAGGTTTATCCTCACGTTTAGGCCACGTTCTTCCAAAGCTGGGAAACCTTGCACACTTCGCAACGAGACGCCTTAAGCCCTAACCCTTCTCACGATGAATTCTCGATCATTTTACACGTTGCTGGTCAACAGCAGAACGCTACTCCATTACCTGCTAATAGTATCCAGTTCTTTTGAGCAGAATATGCCAGTTGGTCTCTTGAGATTAATATTGTGTACTTCTACGTTATTCAGAAATTTTACGTGCATGCTGTGTATGGGGTTGTTATGCAAACTACCGGTCAGAGCTAGCTTGCCTTGACATGCTGTTCATGCACTTGCCATATCCAGCTGCTTTGTTTGTTCTATAGAGCAATGACAGGATTGGACCCAAAACAAATTACCCTTAAAATGGCAAAATGGTCCCACACCGTCCAAACCCATTTAAGACATGTGCCGCTTCACCAATAACTCTCCGTAATTTACTGTAATATTTGCCCAACGTTTTGGCTAAAAACGAGGCTCAGTAAACGCGAGGCACCCATTGCGGGATTTCCATCCTTGCAAAATTTCCATTACTCATCATTCAGTCCATATTCCATTGTATGCAAAACTTTATCATGTCAGCGTTTTGCTCCAGAGAGTTACGGCTGAAGACAAAGGGCAACACTAGCAACATTCCTCCATCTGGAGGAAATAAAAACCTGGTTTATCGCAACGACCAGTAAACCCCAAATTAAGTAGAGATGCAGGTCGACTGACCTTTGAGACGTGATTATATGCTTGAAAGCCTAGCAAACAACCTTTTCATGCACAGCCTCTCCTGAGGTCAAAAATGTACGCACGAGGGTCGGGGGGGATGGGGGGAGGGGAGAGGGATTGGCAGGGCAGGTCCCACGGTACCATCGGTCTGACAGACAGTGGTACCATTAACAGTCGGCTCGGCCGTGCCATCGGGCCCACTCGCCCTTGCTCACCCCTCCACCGCCAACCCTTCCCACCTGAAGATGCTGAGCCGGAAAATGTCTTGTCTAAGATTGTCAACCTTCCCATAAAAACACTCTGCCAGCTCAATTAACAGTCGCTTGTTGGGAGAAGAATTTCCTGTTCACTGCGGAAAATCCCTTCAAAAGCTTTATGATACGCCCAATCCCTTAACCTTCAGGGAACGGATTGTTGGGACCTGACTACGGGAATAAAACACCGTTTGGAGAGGGATGAAAGGTATATTGGAAAAGATAACATGTTATAGTTACCTCAACACATATCCCAAAACAGTTCAGGAAGCATTAAATTCGTCCAATGAGCTCCACGGTCTGATAAATTGGCACAGTCTGCATAGGGTGAATAGTCCTAGTGTCACAGTCAAACACGCACAAATGCCAGCAGAAGATGCCAGAAGAGTGCTGAACTTGGCCAGTGGAGCTAAACTCGACACAGTGCAGCTGAGTAATGTTTGTTTTGTATCAGTGAAGGTGACATCATTATGGCACATCAACAGCGTACATTTAGGGCTCGTGCTGTACCAGTTATTGCCGGATTAGGTTCTCGGCCAAGGCTATGGATATTTTGGGAAGCATAAGTGGGGTGCTGTGTGGGCCCTAAGATGCACCACGTAATCCAAAGCACCGGCGTGGTACAATAATAGAATGGCTTAGGCTGTGCTTTGTCCCCCTTTACGCTATTTGTAGTTAATTCCAAGTTTCGGGCATGACGAGGCAGACGTTTAAGAACTGCTTAGCCAGCACTTAGTTACCGCATACTCATGACAGTCAGCTTTAGGGTGCGTGTGTCAGTGCGGTGGTGCGTCTCTACAAATGAACACATGCACAGCCGCGGCTGCTCGGTGTGAATGCTCGCGCGCGTCACCAGGCCGGCCGGCGGGGTCTCCCCTCCCTCCCCCTGCCACTGACCGCTGACCGCTATTAACTATTCAGGAGGCGGCAGCTCGGTCGGGATGCGGCCCGACGGCGCCGCTGATTTAGTGGCCACGTCCCGCCGCCTGCGTCGCGTCCGCGTGACGTCACACGCTCACTTGACGGCCCAGCCATTCTTGGCGGCGCGTGCTGGCCCCGCCCCCATCGATCTCGGCCAATCACAGCGCTCGTCCGGCGGCCGCGGCATGTGACACATTGATCGCCGGGCTCTGTCGCCTAAGTGGCCGACAATGAGCACCGCTGACCGGCGGCGACCGCCGACCGCCCGCGCCCGCGGCGGGCCTCGGCCGGCTGCAATCCGGGGCTGGCCGCCGCGGCTTTGACTGCAGCGCCGGCCGCGGGGGCCGGCGCCGCAGCGGGGCTCGCGCTTTGTTGGACGCGCGTCGGCCGCCGACCGCTCACAATGACGGCAATCAGGTCTGACTGTGTGGGCTGCAAACGATGAGCGCGGCTCCACTATGAGCCCTTTAGTGCCACGCCACGGTCATCCAAGGCAGCGCATGGAGTGCACGCGGCGGTAGTATTTGTCCGCGGCGCCAGCGAGGGTTACGACACCGCCTGACGGTGGCCGGGCGGCGCCCGCCAGGCGGTATCATGTTGACAACGCAAATCAGGTGGTGGGTGGATGCGATGCAAAAGCGTTGGACGAAAAGTGAAGATGATACCTACATGACTTACATGCATGTATGTGGTTCCTATAATCTTTTCGCGTGTTGGTGGCATATGAATTTTAGGCGCTTCCCAAAATTAGCATGGCTAAGGCTACTCGGGTGCGTTAAATGTCAGCAGATTTTTGCGCCACGATGGGATTACCAAGCATCCACCGCCGCGGTCCTTGGGTTTCCGGACCACAGGCGCTTTGGCAGGCTGAGCTACTAGACTGAACGTTACGTTGTTCCAGAAGCTAAATCGCGCCCAATGTAGGTATCTACTTACATAGCTGCCTAATGCATGTTGCTACCGTGTATCTGGCACCATGACCGCCTTTCAATGATCGCCGCTACTTTGGAGCGCTGAGCAGAGACTCGCAGCTGCTTCACTTCACCGGAAACAATCCAGCTTAACTCAACTCGACACTGAATTTTGCAACTCAAGTAGACTACATCGTTTTGTTGTCTCACCGAAAGCTAAGACTCGTTACACATAGCGTGCCGCTGCCTCGAGGCCTCGAACACACCCAGGCTACATTTTCTTGGTCTGTGCCTACGTTGGAGTCATCTTTGGAACAATGTGTCTTCTGAGTGGGTGCAGTCATCATGAACATGAACATCCATGATAATCCATGAACATCATGAACATGAATCCAACATGAACATCTCTGAAGACTTCAGTGCAGGTTGAATGCGGCTGGTTTACATGACAGGCATGCTATGTTTTAAAACATGAATTGCTACATGATGCTGCTATCTCAATCAACATCTGTTCGGTGAAATATAATCTTAACTGACGTAACTCAATGTCCATGTGCAACATAAACCACTAACGAGCCGGCCGGCCGCACCTGCTGATGAGGTTCTGCTTACCGTGCATTTGCGACAGGCTCGACCCCCCATCTTTGAGCTGTTCTTTTCAGTACAATCAAAACATTTATGTAACACGGAATCTACCAAGAGCACGGTACAAGCTGGGCCCATAGTCCACACTCAGTACTATCCTTCTCAAGACCTACATGACGGATTACTTTTTCCTATCTGCAAGTCTTACATAAAACCTTTGTCCGCTAGCTAGCTAGGTTATGGACACTCACGGGGGGGTATGGTCTGGTACTGCAGTACACAGGAGCAGCGCCTGGACGGTTGAGGTAATAACCATCTATTTATAGACAAACTAATTATGTGACGCTATTCCGCGATCAGCCTGCTCGCAACCCATTATAATGGGCTGGACTCATTATCTGGACTACTGCCCGCTGGTGCTAATATTATTGAAACAGAGACATCAGTGAATCCAGATTTAGGATTCGCGTAGTCCAGCATGCCTTGGTGCGCTCCCGTGTGTCGCAGGTTTTAATCCTCTTTTGAACATCACTCCCGCTCAAACTATGTTGGCACCTGTAGTTAGCCCGTCGTTCGTAAATCTCGACTGCATAGAACATCGCCGGACCGAAGTTAACACTGTTTCCTGCCCACTCTGAACCGGTAACCGTTAATGAAGTCGACACCGTTTCGTCTCTCTGAACCGGAAACTGCTACCGAAGTCGGCACTGTTCCGTCCCTCCGGACCGGAAACTGTTAC